TATATATACACACACACATACACACTAAAAAGTATATTCTGTTAGATGATAAGAGTATAGAATAATAGCAGTATTCACCAATAATAGGAAGGCATAATGATATGAATGCATCATCATTTTAATGAATTCCCATATGGTTGCATATTATTGATTCAGGATATTTGAAAACCGAACTGTTGGTACATTTCTAACTGTTATGACCATTTCTAAACTTCTACATATTTAATTCAAAACTTCTAAAAACTGATTTAATAATTAGTGTGCTTAAATTTGTATAAAAAAAAGAGGAAAGAAAAAGAAAAATGCTGCTTGGTCCTGTGAGCATTTAATATTACACAGATCTATGAGGCAGAAAGGCAAAAGTAAAAGATGGAAGATACTCGATGACCCATATCACACAAACACACACATCCAAGCACACACTCTTGTTCTGTGACTGAACCCACGCTTTCATTGTGTGATGGGAGAATGACATTGGCTGTGAGTTCGCCGGTCACATGGGTGGCCGTGCCTTCATAAATGGCTGCTGTAAGCTGGAGACACTCCATTTGACAGAAGTACACACATACACACACCGAAAACACGGCGGGTCTCAGAACCCCTCTACACGGGCTCTGCCCATGCCACTAACGCCACCTGCGGAGCCTGGTAATGCTGAATACTGCATAAATCTCTTTCTCTCACTCACTTTCTCTTTCTGTCAGAACATGGGTCGTCTGCTGCTGTTTTCTGCTGTAGATGTGGTTGTACTTTGTCCTTGCACTTGCTTTTCTTGTTTAATGGTTTTCAGCCAATGAGGTACTTTCAGGAATACAGAGTCATTAAATATCATGTTGTGCAATTACCAGCCTGTACAGGACATCTAAGTCCATTGTCGAGGCATATTCGAACTTCATATTTTTGTGTTGTGCAGTGTTTCAAAGACCTATATTTGTATGTTGCATCAGATGTTGTCAGTGTGTTGTTTATTATGACATCTCATGGTTATTGAGCAGTAATGAGAGGGCTTAAATCAAGACTTTGATGTACTATATGGGTTTATGCATATCTCAGTGCTGGTCCACATTTTGTGTGCTGTGTGTGTACGTATATATAATGAAACATTTGGGGTCGATTTTTTCTGTTTTTAAATCTCTTATGTTTACCAAGGATGCATTTGTTTTATCATGAATAGATTAAAAACAGTGATATTGTGAAACATTGCTAGAATTAAAATGGTCTCTATTTTAATATATTTCAATATATTTTAATTTATTCATGTAATGCTGAATTTACAACAGCAATTACTGCAGTCTTAAGTGTCACATGATTCTTCAGAAATTCTAATATGATGATTTAGGGCTCAACAAATATTTATTATTATTATTATCAGTGTTGAAAACAGTTGTGCTGCTTAATTTTTGTGGAAACTGATGCAATTTTTTTTGATGAATATAAAAAAATTATAAATGTCTTCACTGTAGCTTTTGATCAATTTAATGTGTCCTTGTTGAATATAAGTATTATGATTCTTTTTTTTTATCTTCCTGATTCCAATTATTGTACGTATTGTATAAAATATTTTTTAAATATGCCAGATAACGAGCCGTCAGTTGGGTGTGTGTGTTTCCTAATAACTGGGGTTTTCTCTTGTCTTTCAGATCTGGAACCAAAAATGAACTGGGCGTCTTTTTATGCCGTGATCAGCGGCGTGAACCGGCATTCCACAGGCATTGGGCGGATTTGGCTGTCTGTCTTCTTCATTTTCCGGATCCTGGTTCTGGTGGTGGCGGCGGAGAGCGTGTGGGGCGATGAGAAAGCGCATTTCACCTGCAACACCCAGCAGCCCGGCTGCAACAGCGTATGCTACGACCACTTCTTCCCCATCTCTCACATCCGACTGTGGGCGCTGCAGCTCATCATGGTCTCTACCCCCGCCCTGCTGGTTGTCATGCACATTGCACATCGTCGGCATATCGACAAAAAGTTGTATCGCCAAGCTGGCCGCACCAGTCCAAAGGACTTAGAGCAGATAAAAAATCAAAAGATGAAGATTACTGGCGCCCTTTGGTGGACATACATGATCAGCCTGCTGTTCCGTGTGTTATTCGAATCCGCCTTTATGTATCTGTTCTACATGATTTACCCAGGATACAAGATGTTCCGGCTGGTAAAGTGTGACTCGTACCCGTGCCCAAACATAGTCGATTGCTTTGTGTCCCGACCAACAGAGAAAACAGTGTTCACTATATTCATGCTTGCGGTGTCCGGCGTCTGCATCCTGCTCAACATCGCAGAAATTGTCTTTCTTGTTGCTAGGGCAACAAGTCGCCATCTCAATAACTCCAAGGATTCCCCAGTGGGAGCCTGGATCTCTCATAAACTGTGCTCCTTTTAGAAGTGCTCGCCCTGTCACTCTCTGAAACTTAAATCGGGCACTCACTCAAACACTTCATTCACTCAAACACTTAATGTTAATGAGGGCTAATGTCATTGATGATGTTTTTAAATTTTATTTAACTCAGAATACTTAAAAAAAATATGTACTATTACTCCACACAATTTTAGAGCAATGTATAAATAAATTTACACTGTTGTATACAATTTTATACTTATATTGTACCTAAAAATACTACAATGAAATAAAATCTTAATCGTTCTTTGTGGTAAAATCTTCATTATTCAATTCAGGCATTGCTTTTTTATTGTTTAAAAAATGTGCGTGTCAAACAAATGTTTTAAAGTAGCCTAATTATTCCATGTATTCTTTTAATTGCACAAGTAGCCTATAAAAGTTTGAGATTTATTTTTGTTTTACTTGTACGTCTGTACAATGCATTACCTCTAGGGGATGCTACAGCTCGACCAGCTCTTCATAGAAACCACAGTACACCGTAAAGTGTTATCCACAACTGCAAGGTCCAGTCTCTCCTGTTCATGAACATAATGATGATACCTTTTTGATTAAGTAGCCTACTTTTTACATTACAACAGGACATCTGTTTTAATAATCTTTTGTTAAAATTGCTTATAGTATTTATTGATAGAATTTGGAATGACCTACATTTGCCACAGAGGTAGGGCCCTATGAAATCAGTTGTATTTTTTTCCCAAATTCTGTTTTATTTTTTCCAAATTTTAAATTAAAATTTTTTCGATTCTGTTTATATGGTTAAATTCAATTTTACTAATCAAAAATCATATCTAATTAATTGAAATCATCAAACTTACACAATTTAAAAGCAATTTATTAAAAGTTTAAAGGGGTCATATGATGCAATTTCAAGTTTTCCTTTCTCTTTGGAGTGTTACAAGCTGTTCATGCATGGATAAGATCCCTGAAGTTGCAAAGACTAACGTCTCAAACCCAAAGAGCTATTTATAAAAGTTAAGACTCGTCCATGCCTTCCTAAAATGCCTCGTTCTAACACGCCCCCACATGTCTACGTCACTGTGTGGGAAGATTTGTATAACACCGCACAAATGTTCACGCAAAGAAAGAAGGCGTAACTTTGATTCTCGCTGTAGTACTGTTGCCGGCGCCGCCATGTCGTGGAGACGCTGTGTGTTTCGTTGTGAAAGCGAAACTACTTTGTTTGGCCTTCCAAAAGAGGACACAACTAGAAATCAGTGGTTAAGTTGTATTTACAACACTGTTCCAGAACAGTTCAACCCAAATATTCAGATGTGTGCAGCGCATTTTACGGAGGACTTTTTCCTGAACCTGGGAGAATAGCCTACGATGCCTGTTCACAAAGGCTGTTTATATAAAGTGGGGCAATTCCAACTTTGCAAAGACAGTCTGGTGCTTCTGACTCACAACCTGTAAGTACATTTTCATATTTAAAGAATTTGCCACTGATGATTCAAACATGAGTTTTGAGCAGTGTAGAGTAGCGCTTGTTGATTGTTTGTTGTTTCTCCGATCACAAATGCAGACATGGTTTTATGTTTACACGGCGTGATGCAACGCAACGCGTAAAAAGACAGTATAAGTCATTATAATCTGTAATTATGTCCCCACTGGATGCAGCAAATGCCTCGTTTGTAATGGGTTTTATTGTTTTTTTTCTCAGTATGGTGAGGGGCGTAACATTTCCATCACACGCTTGAGGTATTCGGCCAATCACAACGCACTGGATAGCCGGCCAATCAGAGCACACCTCGCTTTTCAGAACGAGGAGCTTTGTAAAAATCGATGCGTTTCAGAAAGGCAGGGCATAGAGGAGCAACAATAATGTACAATATGTGAAAAATAATGTGTTTTTTGAACCGTAAACCGCATAAACACATTTCATTACACCAAATACACAAAATAATGTTCTTTTTAGCAACGTCATATGACCCCTTTAACAAAAATTCAATTTTCAAGTCCCCATGAAATGTTTTCTCCCCTCAAATTCAGTTTTATTTATTTATTTATTTATTTTTACCAAATTCTGTGTTTTCCATTAATTTTCTGCATTCCATTTTAAAGGTTTCATTAAATTTTAAAGGCATCTCTAATAAATAGATTTTTTTTTTTAAATATTTATTATTATTATTTTATTATATATTTTTTTTCAGAAATACTGTGTTGTATATTTACATTTTTTCTGGTAAATAAATTCTGGTAAATATTTCTTCTGGTAAATATTCCTTAAGAAATTATGCTTTAATAATAATTTTATCATAGTAGTAGCACTATCATTACATTGAGTATTTCTGTCACAGTTTCTTCAATTTAAACCAAACTTTTATTTTGACGGTTTGCCCTGAAGACCTTTAGGTTTCTGTTTGTATATGATATGACGATATATTTTCTCAAAAGAAATGATAAAATGCTCATAAAGTGACTCTCAGAACATTCATGTACTCATATGTTGAGGTGGCAGAGGCTGAAAACCAACTAGCATCACACGCGTTTCAGTATGTGTGTAAACAAAACTGCGCGCCTGCGCCGACCAGCAGAACATGCAGGATTCATATTTAAATAGTTTTTTTTTTTTTTGCGGCTTAACATTCACAGACACTAGCCCATATCGCGTTTCCATTCAAGTGTACTGACCTACTTTTGATTTATTAATTAAAGCAGGGGTCACCAAACTCAGTCCTAGAGGGCTGGTGTCCTGCAGAGTTTAGCTCCAACCCTAAACAAACACACTTGAACCAGCTAATTAAGGTCTACTTGAAGGTATACTTGAAACTTCCAGTGTGTTGAGGCAAATTGGAGCTAAACTCTGCAGAACAGGGCCCTCCAGGACTGAGTTTAGAGACCCCTGAATTAAATAAATAAATAAATAACCAATGCATTTTAGATGGATCCCACGTGACTCCAGCGAAATAAGCAATTCAGTTTATTAATTTATTCCCAGAATTTCAATAATATATAATAATATACAACATAGAAGAATGTAAAAATACATTTTGCACTGAAAGGAATACTTTCTTGATGTCACTTGTAGAGTAATCCACAGAAATAACAACAACACCAGAGGTGTAAAACATTTATAACAATAGTGACACTCAGTGTCATTTTTCAGCAGTATAAGGTGCCATTTTAACGCTGTAAATTCAACACTACAATTAGTGTACTTTTAACTCTTGATAGATAGGGACCATGTATGATCTTAACAAAATGTTAAATTGAGACTGCTTATTTTACTGTGTATATATATAATATATACATACCATCCCACTTATCAGCCAATCAGATAAATTAATGAACTATTTTATGAACCTGTTTTGAGTCATGGGTCTTCTGTCAACAGGCAGTCTGGTTTACCTGGGCTTAGAGAATGTAAAATATCTCAGTCAGACCATTACATAGCAGAGTGACACAGACGCGTCTCCTGTCTACTTCTTGCTCTCTAACTTCTATTTGTTCTTTGTTTGGTGCTAAACACACTTTTAAAAAAGGAAAAACCAAAATAGAAAGACAAAAATATGCTGTGTTTCAGTCGCTTTCCTTCAAAGGGAGGAATGTGTGTCCTGTGAGCTCTGCCATTGGTCCTGACAGCTGTCACTCATCTGAGAGGCTCTGAGAAACAAGGCAGGTGGTGCACTCTTCAAAATTCTCCCTAGGGATTGTGTTCCCTGCCAAAATGAACCTCAGCACACTCACTCATACATGCACACACACACATATATACAGTGTATTTGTATGGGACAGTTCTCTTTTTCTGTTTGAGCCAGTGTTGGAGTACAGAAGAAAGTGTATGTGTGACAGAAGAAGTGCAGCACTGCGTCTACACTTGTAGACTTATTACTATTTATGTATGAGGGGATCATTTTAACTCTGGACATTTAAGAAAGGTGAGTTTCAAGCTATAGAATTAACTGACTCTCACACACTCTGACCCATAGACACACCTGAACCTTTCAGATTCATCTCTGTCTTGTATTCACTTCTAACAGTTTTTGATTCCTTTAATTTACCAGCATGAATCAATCTATGGATCTATATGTAAAGATAATGGCTTAGTGGTATGATTGTCATATCCATCAGATTTTGGGAAGCAAAAGGAATCCTATATTTAGTATAATGACTAATGCGATTAATTCATATATGACTGTGTGTGTATTTATTTGTGAATGACTAATCACTGTATGTCTGGGTGATTATCTGAGAAAGGGTGTGTATTTTGGTTTTGAAATACTTTGTGTTTAGAGTGTATCTGAAAATCTAATGGTCTTCAGAGAATTTGTGTTTTAGTGTAAAAATGCTGTTAAATAAACTAGATTCATATAAAATTCATAAATAGATTCATATAAAATTCATAAATAAACTAATACATATAAAATGGAAAAATTCTTTCAGAATTGTATTATTGGAATCTATGTATATAAAGGGCAAGGTTGTCAAACTAAGGTCCGGGGACAAATTCTGGAATAGTTCAGAGAAAAATACAGTAAAAATAAATGAAAGAAAGAAAAAAAATTCTTATTATTAATAACAGTAATAATAAAAGTTTATTCTGTTTTCTAAATACTTTCTCTATACATGAAATATATAGCTGCCCCTTCGCAAGGGCAGCATCTTATTTGGGGGTCTATAACTTTAAAAGTTTTGAAAAGTTAACACTTTAACTTTTAGCTCAAGAGAATCTGTTAACAGACAGTATGCAATACAAAAAGTATGAAGTGTGTTGGAAGATCCTTATGTGTGTGTGTGTGTGTGTGTGTAGGGGTCGAGTATGTCCACCTGTTTCAGGTCATGCTCAGGCATGAAGACATGTCAGTCAAACCTCAGGCCATGTGACCAAATATAACAACACATCCCTCAAACATGACAAAGAACCTTGCACCCCTCTAATAGTATATGTATGTTACTGTATGTGTGTAAGTGTGTCTGTGTGTGTATGTATATAATTAACCCTATTTTGGGGACAGACTGACTAAATCCTCTATTTGGGGATGTCTCATTTGCAAAAATAGCATAAAAATACAATTGTAATTATATATACTATATGTATTTTCAACAGAAGTCTAATGAATGTCCACATTTAGTTGACTAAGTAAATGTGTTTGGACCTTTTTTTTTGGACCTAAATTAAAAAACCGAAATGTTAATGCATAAATAAGAGTATACATTTTTGTAGGTATGTATTGTACCATGTAAACTCTGACTGGATTGTGCTTATTCATTTCCCTTATTTTGTAAATAATGTAGTTTACCTTTGCCAACTATTATTCAGACTAAATAATATAGAAATTTTCACAGCTGCCATTTATTGATTATTGACCATAACTGATTATTAGCTGAATTAAAATTGGTGTAACCCTATATTTTTGTGTGTATTTGCAGGTGAGCACACAACAGTAATGGGAGACTGGAACTCTCTTGGGAAGCTTTTGGAAAGTGCCCAGGAACACTCCACGGTGGTGGGCAAAGTCTGGCTCACCGTACTCTTCATCTTCCGCATCTTTGTGCTCGGTGCTGCCGCAGAGAAGGTTTGGGGCGATGAGCAGTCCGGTTTCACCTGTGACACCAAACAACCTGGTTGTCAGAATGTATGTTATGATATAACCTTCCCAATCTCTCACATCCGATTCTGGGTGCTTCAGATCATCTTCGTCTCCACTCCGACACTGATCTACCTGGGCCACATCCTGCACCTGGTGCGCATGGAGCAGAAACAAAAAGGCAATGAGGCAAGCAGGGCAGACAAACAGGCACATTTGAGCACCAAATCTGGAAAAGGTCCCGTACGTGATGAACAGGGGAAGATCTGTCTGCAAGGAGTCTTGCTATGCACGTATGTCTTCAACATCATCTTTAAAACACTGTTTGAAGTGGGCTTCATTGTGGCACAGTACTTCCTATATGGATTTGAGCTCAAGCCACTGTACACCTGCAACAGATGGCCCTGTCCCAACACTGTCAACTGCTACATCTCACGACCTACAGAAAAAAACATTTTTATTGTGTTCATGCTGGCCGTGGCTTGTGTCTCTCTGCTGCTCAACCTGGTGGAGATGTATCACCTGGGTTTCACCAAATGCCGTCAGGGTCTCCGATACAGGCGCTCACATTCGGTCTGCTACACTGAATCAAAAGTGCCCAGTGAGGTGGTTCCATTTGTGCCAAACTACCCGTATTTTCCAGCTCACGCACCACCTCCGGCTCCCTTTCCCACCGAGCCACACTTCAACCTCTCAGAACCCGATGGAAATTTCCCGCCACACGGCAGCCGCTCTGTTTACAAGCAGAACCGAGAGAACATGGCTGTAGAGCGCAGCGGGAAACCAGACACTGCAGATGTCAAGATCAACAAAACAGCGAATTCTGTACCTGGATCACCAAGCCAGCAACGCAGGCCCAGCCATTCAAGTCGCTACAGCAACAACAAGACCAGGATGGATGACCTCAAAATCTGACCAGAAGGAAACGAGACTCCATCACTGATTCCTGGCTCTCTTGTTCAGAGTTCAGAACAGACAAGATATTCCCTCTTTTGCTCACAGGCACTGAGCATATGATGGGAATTAATTTACAAAAGTGTCATTTAGAGTGACATCAGGGAGTCTGAATGAAAATTGGTGTGATGCTTTACTTGAAATCATTTTGTGGGAGCATTGCAATACCTTCATCATTAATTGAACAAACTGATGATTGAATCATGGGCTAAATCATCTTTGCTTTGATAAATCATAAATGGTAAGTTAAAAAGAGACAACAGTTAGAAATTATGATATATTAAGTCATCATTATAAAAAAAAAGAAAAGAAATTATGAGTCATGGCAAATTTTGTCATAATTATCATTTTTTGTTATAATTTTGAACTTTTGTCATCATTTTGATTTTAATGTCATAATTATGAATAGTTGTCATTTTTTTTTAAACTTATTTCAGAATTATGACTTTCAACATTATATGTCATAATCATGATTTAACGAAACATTTTCACACTTTCATAGGGATGATCATTTAAAATGAATTAAAATACTTTTCAATTACCAACAATAAAATATGTAGGAGACTTATGGGTAAAATGTGAATATTTGAATATTGTGGGTTTATTGGGTGGGGGAACTGACTGTGGAGGAAAACTAATTTATTTATATTTTTTCAGTGGCAACACTAATCACATTTTACAAGTCAACAGTTTACAACAGTTATATCATCCAGACTTGGCAGACTGCCTTTACCAGGTGTTTACAATGTGTCTATGGCCTGTTTAAATCTTTTTAGCCAGAGAACCAACATTGTATGAATGTACCGTGTCACACATGTAAACATGCATGATATAAAGCAAAGTTGCTATGTGTGTGTTCACTTCTTAAATAAACACTGGAGACTATTCTTAAAGAGCTGAAATGAGTACCCAGAAACACTTTATGTGTGTGTGTCCGGTTTGAAACTTGAGACAGGTCTGGCAGACGGATGGGAAGGAGCACTGATCGGCTAAATCTGTTCCATTAGGCAAGAGTACAGATTGATTAATATTTCAGCAGATCCAAAAAGTTTAAAGTGTCACTGAGAGGTTATGGATTGTTATTGCCTCTCTTCCTCTGCTCCAAAACCTTGGGGAGCCGCCTTGCTGTCTACTGTCCTTCAAAGGCTATCAAAGAAGACCATTCAAAGTAGACTATCTTTTACATTTTTCTAATAATAATCAAATAATAATTCTTAATTAAAATATCATTAACTCCGATCAGCCGGTAAAAGGACAGACTTCTCTCTGGTGATGTATGCTGGACATTTCCAATAATTTATTCTGCTGAAACCTGTCCCTCCCCAATCACATTTACCTTTAAATGCAATTCGTACATCTCAAAATCCAATCAACAACCGATGAAAAGAACCAAGATTTTTTTTCTTTTCCGATAATCTGCCAATATTTCCATTTCGTTGCGACTAAATGGATCCCAATTAGGAGATCAAAGGCTGTCCTGAATGAATGTCAATGGAAGAGTGTTATGTAAATTAGTGTGCTAAATGAATTGTTTTGTGTGGAAACAGTGTGTTGCGTAATGAATCTACAGCTTTGTTGCTAATCTTCAATGTTTACCATTACATTTTCATTTTGGAGAGATCATGCTTGCTACAAAATCAAAGTGAAAAGTGGGATTCAAGATAAGCACTGCACTCTATTTTGATGGTTTTCTTTTAGGATTATGTACTGTCATAAAAATGTGAAAAAGTCAGAGGACCCAAGAGGTTACAATTTCCCTCTTTTAAGAAAATCGTGCATGTCTCACAACAGGTGCTGCCATAGTGGCAAGGGTCAGAGGCAGGGGCATAGCGCCTAAGTATGCAGGGTATGCACGTGCATATGGGCCCAGGCTGATTGGTGGCCACCAAGAGGAACCTTTTAATTAAAACGAGGGAACGTATTCTTAATTCGTGGCCACAATAAATATATAGGATATTTTTTTTGTCTGCATGTCATGTGCAGGGCTCGGTAATTTCTTGTGTGAATTTGTTACGTTGCTGCCGTAGAACTGCGGCATTTTTTAAAAACCATGTGCAAACGCTGCATTGCCACGGCCAAATGAAATAATAGCCGAATGAATAAATAAAAAAAACCTGTGTGAGGTTGGTAGCTAGCTAGTTGAAAAGACTGTATCACAACTGTATTACATAGCTTCAGCGACACCTGCACAGTTTTAATTCTCTTTCCTTCATTTAAATTCTCTTTTATGGAAAGACTATGGAAAACAGCCATTCTTTCCACTGAGAATACACGAAGCCTTAAATTAAACACCAAGGACATTGTGGATGAATTTGCCGAAAAAGGCCCATAGAATTAAATTTAATTAATTACAACTAAAATGTGAGTATTTCTTCTTTCTTTCCATTTTTTTTTTGGGCCGCTGTGCCAAGAGTGAGTTTGGCAGAATTACGAGATTAAAGTTGTACTGCATGAATAAAGTTAATTAATGTGATAATACCAACTACTCAAAAAAAAAAAAAAAAAAAAAAACAAGAACAAGATTCACATGCAGCTTCAACTGAGGCGAATAGGCCTACAGTGATCTCACGCCACATTAAAGAGCGGAAAAATAAATGTATTGTATTATATTAAAAGTAACAAAACAGGCTTATTGCGATTATTGGGTGGCTATGGTGTGCTACAAATAATGAATGGTAACGGTAAATATTATTTACAAGCATTTATACCGTCAATAAAACAGCTTGTCAGTAGTCACGTAATGTTATTTACCTCAGAAAATGTGACTTATCAAAGGCAGCTTCAGCATCACAGCAGGGACCTATCTGCATGCTTGTAGTCTTGCATTGATCACATCTGTACCTTCAGTTGGGATCGATCACACTATTATTGACAGCGCTGTGAACGTCCTGTTTATGAGTTTAGCTTGATATTCCCATGTTCCTGGATCGACAATGTCGCTCCTAGAAAAACATTAGAGATTAGCTAAACTGGAGAGAAATAGAGAGAGGATCCTTTCTTCATACACTTTATTTTATCATTAAATTTTCATGTGACAGTTTATGAGGCACAAACAGATTGTAACAAATATAAATATTTCAGACAACAACAAAAAAAAAGGTAAACTAAAAATCAAAATGACCACACTATTACCCTGAAGTAGCCTACATGAAGCAGACATCAAATGTTCAGCAAGAACAGCAAGAGAAGGACTCTGAGATGAAACACTAATAATTTATCTTTCAATGCAACTCCTGCCAGATGCCAAGCAGTTTTTCTATGGACTTTGGTGGTTAGTGTGCAAAAAAGCAAAACCAAAACAACTTCCTTAGATGAATAAATTCGAATGGAAAACACGCACTATGGCTTCCTATTCTGAGGTGCCTTTTAGCTTTAGAATAAGATTACTTTATTACACACAGAACGAAAAACTTTGTTTAGCTGGTGTTGACCTGACGCAACTTCGAACAGAATAACCACAAAATACCAACTTCCCTTTCTTGCATTAGTCACCACAAGCTCTCAACATTTACACAAATTTCAAAATTCTGCATATTCATTGGTCCATTTTAAGCATCATACAACATCTCTTATGACAGGTGAAGTGATTTATCACTTAATGTTTCTTACAGCTTTGACTACATGAACTGACACAAATGACTTATTCAATTTGCATATAATTTACAGCGCAATAGTTCTAAATATTTTCTTGCTACAGCATTTCAGTATGTTCTGTATGATATTTTTTAATCTGTAAAATAATAGCAGAAAATATACTTATCGTTTTATGACAAAACTCAAATATATTTTGAAACTCATCTCCAAAATGACTGTGATAATTGTTTAAAGATGAAATAGGTTTCGTTAAATGGAAGCACTTGTGATATTCATACTGAAGTCCTGGATCAAAAACTAATAAGGCAAAAACCACAGATTTCGGTTTGTAGACACAAACACATTCAGTGAATCACAATTACATAACTATAATCTGGAATCCTAATACAGACCTTCAGTGCAGAGGAATATGATATGATGTAGACAACTCTGTCTGCTGATTAGCATAACCATTTTGGGCATTCCTAATTGAGCCTCTAAATAAAGAACAACATTTTCATTTCATAGATCATTTGTGCAAGGAAAGTAATGTAAGGCGACCTATGTGTTGAATGAATTCTCAAGCAATATATATTTTTTCATCCATTAGCAGTTCAACAGCATAGCATTTTGATTTCCCTTAGAATCATCCTTCCTTTTGTGGTTCTACATGTGCTTACGTGTGTTAGGTCAGGCTGGGAATGACAGATGTAGTGCATGTTCTTATGAGCTGGAGGAATGTTTTGAGATTGCTCATTGGATAAAGCAGGCAAAGCCTTTTAATGCCATCATCCCAAATCACACGTGCCATTTATACTATTATTTATAACACCTCATTTAGTCATCTGTATTACCTCCAATACCTTCATCTACATTATATCACAATATCTCACTCCAATCATTTATGTTACACAAATAACAATTAACACTAATCTTTTACATTACATCAAAACACCTCATACCTGTTTTACTTCATACTATGCAATCTGAATCATTTTATCCCTCAATTTTTTTTTTTTTTTTTTTTTGTCCCTTTGATTTGTACTTGTCCTGTATATGTGTGTCTGTATATAAATAAAAGGATTTCCTCATCTGTAACGGACGTAAGTGTTTCACAAACACTGACCTGTACAAGTCACACAGAAAGAGAGAAAGAGGAAGGGAGAGGGTTTATGGCTTTTAGGGCAGTGTTTTGCTGTGATTGCTCTGATATAGTGTGTTAGTGTGCGTCTTTAAGTTGGTTTTTACGTGCATGTGCAATCAGAGAATCCGTGTCAATGGCCCGTTCAAAGAAGCGAACGACAGACAGTTCATTCAAGAGAGACGCAAGAATCTGCTCGAAGGAGAAACTCCAGTCCCCGTCTCTGACCTTAGAGGGTGAGCTGGGGGTGTCTGTTGGCGTGTCCAACACGGGGCTGCTGGTTCCGGTGGGACTGCTGGTAGGCGTAGAAGGGCGTGAGGTTGAGGTCGGGGTAATGTCAGAGTGGGACGGGGCAGTTTCTTGTTGACTGACCGGAGACTCAGGTTGGTCGCCTTCCCCCTCAGCGAGGGTTTCGGTCTCCGGCTGAGCCGTGCTGGTGGGTGTACTTTGGGGCGTTTTCTGCAGGCTGCTCTCCTGTAGCTTCCGCCCCACCTCCTCCATGCGCAACAGAAGACTGGTCACTCGTGCCACAGCACGGTACAGACTCTCCTCCTCCTCATCACCGTGGAACACTCCGTACAGGGTCTTTGTCAAACCAATAAACTGCACCTGGAACACATACAGTCTATTTAATTAAACTGAACTGTATTTATATGGCTTAACCAGTACAAATGTGTTCAGAAATGACAACAAACCATTGTAGAGGTTACCATGAGCAACACTCCAATTACACTTCAATAAGACAAGTCTCCATTTGAGTTTGTGTGTGCTCAAGACAAAAAAGAGTAAGAGCAGACAGACTATGACAGAGAACAGGAATAGAACTGCACTGAACAAGGTAAGTGAGCAGAGAATGAGCACTGATGAAACTATTGTCAAACACCTCAAGGTACTTGTGGAATCATCACTGATCAGGACAAAGCAAACCAGGTGCTGTACTCAAATAAGCATGAGGAATCTTCTTGATGTGCCATTTCAGAAATGAAATACTCATATTCCTATTAAAAATATATTCATATTCCTATTAAAAGTACACTTGCAATATGTTTTACTACTACATTTCTTTTTACATTTTCATATGTAGGAAATAGTTTATATATTCACTGTCACTTAATAGTTTCAAAAAAGTTTTTTTATTTAAATTTTTTTATAAATTCATGTGTTTATTTCGCAAGGATGTATTAAATTGATCAAGTGTCATAAATAAATGCTATTCTTTCAAACTTTCGTTGAATCAAAGAATCCTGATAAAAATGTTTCTACAAAAATATAAAGCAGCACAACTGTTTTTAACACGGGTAATAATAAAAGTTGTTTATTATAATCAGTATATTAGAATGATTTCTGAAGGATCATGTGACACTGAAGACTGGAGTAATGGCTGCTGAAAATAAAAGTAAAAGTAAGCCTTGGTGAACATAAGAGAAAAAAAATGTGCAATGTGCACAAACAATGTTAAAACAACAAGAAGGCAAACACTGACTGAACACTTAGTAGTGATGCTACCTTTAGTTAATGTACACAGATAAGCTATACATGAACTGGAAAATCTCAGCCATAGAGACAAAAAATCCATCATTCAATCAATCGTTCAGTCATCATTTAATGCCATTAACTGTGCAGTTGCTCTAAAAAAGGAAACAAAGACATTTATTTTTCTGTAAACATTTAATTCTGACCACAATTTCATTTTGTGTGTGTGTACCTGATTAATTCTGGGCAGATCTTTAATATTCTCCTCTCTCCGCAGCAAGTCTTCCTGCCACTGTTTCAGATATTCCTGCAGATCTACTTTAGCACGACCTGAGGGGCAAAATACATCAGATTTGTAAACAGCTTCCTGGACTGGCAATCAATCTCTTTTCAACTCAAATAAATATTTTATGTCTATAATTTATGTCTTTTGTTTATCTGACAAGTAGTCAAGTAAAAATGCACAGTCATTTGGTCATTGCACAGTGACCCTGACCACCCTGTTATGGTTTATTTTGTGATATTGTTTGATATTATATAGAGAACATGATTAGAGGACAGGGATGAATACTTCACCTCTCTCTGGACATTTTCTGATCACTCCATCCTCTGCAGAATCTACATGGAAGAGTGGAAAAAATGTGCAGCCACGAAACAGAGATACTTACACATGCTTGAACAGATATACATGCATACATATATTTTAAAAGCTTTTAAGGCTGGGCACGGATTTGAGTTTCTGTTTCTTGTTAAAACCCCAAAATGACGTGTGTTCCTATAAATCTAGCTGTTTGGAGGTTAGGTGAGACAAGTCCCTCTTAAGTACAAATAAAAATGCTACACACAACACACAAACATTTAAAACTACACATAAGAACACAAAATAAATCACTGACATTATAACACACCCAGAAGAAAGAAGAAAGAGTGAAAAGAAAGGAGGCATAAGGAGCCACAGAAAGGCATGAAAGCTGACCAGAAAGACGAGTGGAGAAAGAGTGATCTTCAGCCGGAGGAAAAAATCTAGACGACGGTAAAATCTTACACTCCTGGGTCCCTGAAGAAACACACAAAATATGCAAATATGCACACATTCTTCTACTTTTATTCGAATCTGTAAAAAAGTATCAGTCATGATCTGTCATAAATTAATCTGCACTTATCAAAATGGCCTATAATTTTAAAAAGGCAGTTACACAAACATGTTACATGAACTTATCACCATCAAGAATGATGGGTTTTAGATAAAGTGCTGGTATCTTAGTAGTTACAGATCCAGGCTAATAATCCAAAGGTTATCGGTATTAAATCCCAAAGTAGACTTGTGCCGGTATTCGGTAATGCGATATATCACGGTAATGAATATGCACGATATTGTTATCGTGGGCACTTCTAAATACCGTGAATAATTATATATTACAAATTATTCCGAATTTTGAATGCATTTTAAGAATACTTTTCCCATCAACTGGTCAAAATGCACAACACCGCTGTATGCTGCGTGAAAGACGCATGCGCACTCTGACGTAAACAAGCGCGGACAAGAAGCACATGGCGGAACATGTGAGAGACGCTCTGGATGAAAGCGCACTTTCACTTTCTGACAGCAGATGGCGCTACACTGCTGAAATAATAATAATAATAGTTATTAAACCTGTTATACTGTATTATGACAGCACTTTTTTAAAACTAAATGTCAATACCGTGATAATACAGCATACCGTGATAAAAGCATTAGCAATTAATCGTAACATGAAAATTTGATACCGGCATATCCCTATCCCAAAGTATGTACTTTAAATTCCTTTGGATAAAAAAAAGTGTCTAATAACTAACTAACTAACAAAATGTAAAATTTACAAATAAAGGAGATGTAGAGGTTAGATATAGATTATACAGGATCATAGAGCGGGCAGATATATAGATTAAACTGGGTTATAGAGGTGCATAGATTATATATTTGACCCAACTATTACACTGTATAAATTATTAAGCATTACTGAGGGGTTAGATATACAGTGGGTACGGAAAGTATTCAGACCCCCTTAAATGGACGAAAACCTTCTCCAGAGTGCTCAGGACCTCAGACTGGGCCGAAGGTTTACCTTCCAACAAGATAATGACCCTAAGCACACAGCTAAAATAACGAAGGAGTGGCTTCACAACAACTCTGTGACTGTTCTTGAATGGCCCAGCCAGAGCCCTGACTTAAACCCAATTGAGCATCTCTGGAGAGACCTAAAAATGGCTGTCCACCAACGTTTACCGTCCAACCTGACAGAACTGGAGAGGATCTGCAAGGAGGAATGGCAGAGGATCCCCAAATCCAGGTGTGAAAAACTTGTTGCATCTTTCCCAAAAAGACTCATGGCTGTATTAGATCAAAAGGGTGCTTCTACTAAATACTGAGCAAAGGGTCTGAATACTTAGGACCATGTGATATTTCAGTTTTTCTTTTTTAATAAATCTGCAAAAATGTCAACGATTCTGTGTTTTTCTGTCAATATGGGGTGCTGTGTGTACATTAATGAGGAAAAAAAATTAACAAATGATTTTAGCAAATGGCTGCAATATAACAAAGAGTGAAAAATTGAAGGGGGTCTGAATACTTTCCGTACCCACTGTATATACTGTATATTATACATATATATCAGGGGTGGCGAACGTCGGTCCTGGAGAGCCGCAGCCCTGCAGAGTTTTGCTTCAACCCTAATCAAACACACCTGAACGAGCTAATCAAGGTCTGAATGGTTACTAGGACGCTACAGGCAGGTGAGTTTTAATTAGGGTTGGAGCTGAACTCTGCAGGGCTGCGGCTCTCCAGGACCGGAGTTCGCCACCGCTGATATATATGGATAGGTTATATATAGATAGGTTAGACATACAGGTTATGCAGGGTTATACATGGGTCAGATATATAGATTATTAAGGGTTCTTGAGTTATACAGACTGCTTAAGGTTGCAGAGGGGACAGATATACAGATATTATAAGTACATAACCATATCTTATGTTTACACTAAACTTTTATTATAGCACAGTGGCAGAGATCATAAAATTAACTTACCTGGTTGAAGGTGCAATTTGAAGAGAAATGTTAATTTTTCTGTGAATGATTTGTTGTATAGGATATCTGCAATATACACACACACATACTCTTGAATGAATCTGACAGGTTGTAAAGCTAGCTGCTATGTACTGAGGTGAAAGGTCAAAGGGCAGTCAGTTTAGTTCTGGGTTAGGCTCCTCTTACCCAGACCACATATGAAATCTTTGAAGTTCAAAAGTCCGTCTCCGTTCTCGTCCAGAAGCCGGAAGGCTGATCGTGCCAGTGAGCGTGCGTGCGTGTGTGTGGTCCATGGCTGTAGGAGGTTAAACAGGCTACTAAACTGGGACTGATCCAGCTGGTACTGGTCAAGATATGGCAGGCTGGGGTCATGGTTCTGCAGGGCAGGACTACACACTGACCAGTAACAGCTCACAAAGTGTTGCCTCTGTAACACACAAACAGTCAAAAGACACACAAGCTTGCACAGTTTTTTTGCGGCCTTTAGACACTGAAACGCACAAATCTTTTTGCGTAACTCACTTTAAAAAGCATGTAGAGCTCGTCTAGCTGAGCAGCACTGAACTTCACATCTTGAGCAACAACACGCAACTGCAACAATAAGACACAAATGACAGACAATTAAACAATTTACCATGGACAACAATCTTTACTGCCACTGTATGTGTAAACAATGTGTAAAAAAACAAATTATGCAATGTTTTTGAAAGAAGCCTATTATGCTCACCAAGGCTACATTTATTTGATCACAAATACAGTAAAAACAGCAATATTGTGAAATATTGTTACGATTTAAAAGAATTGTTTTCTATTCAAATATATTTCAAAATGTAATTAATTCTATTGATGGCAAAAGTTTCAGCATCATTGCTCCAGTCTTCAGTATCACATGATCCTTCAGAAATCAAAAAACAATATATTTTTTTAAAGGGGTCATATGATGCGATTTCAAGTTTTCCTTGAAACTCAGCTGTGTTTGCTTTTAGAGCTGTTACTATATTTGGAACTATTTTCGTTAAAGAAATTATTAACAAAGGCAGTACTTGTTTACTGAACTGTTGTATTGAATCAATATCACATTGGCAAACTCCCTTAATAATTATTAAAAGCTGTCACTCTCCTTATCGCGATCTGTGGGCGCACAGAAAATGAGAGCGCGCGAGTGAGTTCTCAAGACTCAAAAGCACGTGCAAATGATACGTTCCGTCATCTGTCGTTATAAGTGCGGAACCTGCGGGAATGAGTAGAAATATTATTAATAGCCGCAATCCCATGGTGAAATTCAAGTCCTGCTCTGTGTTCTCTTCCCGACTGTGAATGATGCGAGCGGCATCCCTATGTTGTCACTGAGAAGCTGCAGCCGTGGCCGGGAATGATTTTTGGTGTGCCGGTAGAACAACAATAACAACAATGCGCTACATGTTTCTTTTCCCCTAATTTTTTTTCCCAATTGACGGAAATCCGTCGTAGCGACAGAAAATTTTAATCCCTGCATAAACACAATTTATTTCAAATTTAATTCAAGCACTTTCAAGAACCTATGTTTGTTTTCAAGTACTTTCCAGGCCTTGAATCCATATGTCTGAAATTCAAGTACTTTCAAGAAGCGTGGGAACCCTGAAAAAAGCATCATATGACCCCTTTAAACAGAAATCTTTTGTAACAATATAAATATCTTTACTGACTCTTTTGATCAATTTAATGAATTCTTGCTGAATAAATTCATTTCTTAAAAAAAAATGGTTAATGCTCACAAACTTTTGAACGGTAGTGTATATTTTCCAAAATCAAATTTGCCATACAACTCTATGAATGTGGCTTTACGAGGCAGCTTCTATTTGCATGTTTCTTCCCCCCCCCGTAACAAATGAGATAATAAGCATCAAAACCTGAGTGAAAAGTTATACATGAATTTCTTAGTATTTTGGTGACCTACAAATGCAAGTGCAGAATCTTATATATTTGTTATTTATTTGGAATTTTCTGAAATTCTAATGCTTTGTTTAATATTATATTATATTATGAATGTAAAGGAATAAGGTGCATATAGCACGGCTTTTGTACTTACTACATTTTGTTTTGTCGTGTCTTCTAGTGTCTGAATGACATAAAGTTTGTTCCTCTTCCGCATGTTTTCCACTTCCTCTGTTCGAATGTCTCCATATTTCTGAAATAAACTTCATTAGTTTGAGCAACCGTATGTTTCAGGCCTTCCATTTGCTGACCCCAGATCTCCTGTCAAAGGGGGGTTTTCCTCATTCCATGCAACTGACCAGTTTGAAAGTGCTGAATTCTCAGGTGCTCGGAAAAATTACACCTTTTCATTGCACATTCAGATTTTACATTCCTATAAAATGTGTCACCATGAGTATAGTTGTTAATTGCCAAAGCATTAAAGACATCAGATGCTCCCATCAGATTCATTTTATTAGTCACTTAGTACAGTTTGTTATAAATTCACTACCTTAAAATAATAAAAAGTCTGCTCTTACTACATATTGTGATAAACCAGAGCTAAAGTCTTCGACAAGAATATGGATTTTTATGTTCACTACAGTATATTAAAGAGTGTAGCTTTACCTCATATGCTTCTTTGATGAGATTGCTGATGTCAACCTTTTGTACTGATTTGTCATTGGCTGTTGCAGAAGCCTGCTGTACGGTAACTGGCAGGGGACTGTCTTTATTTGTGACACTGTCAAAAAACCTGAAGGATAAAACACAGGTTGAGTTTGTAAATAAATAAAAAAATTCACTGCAAAAATTGATGCTATTTACAATTAAAGAGCAGCTTGTCATTAAATGACACTCTGTATGTTCAGTCTTTCTGATCATTGCTGATTGAATCACACAACACACAAAAATGTTCCTTTCAATAATAATAATTATTATTATTATAATAATAAACATTTTTGTGACACTTTTAAACGTTAAATTTCCCCTTTTAATTTTATTATATTGCACATAACATAACTTACAATGCAGCCTGCTACCAACATGCTTTGGCCATGTTAAAAGGACAACATTCCAATCACCTGTTGAGGACTGTGACAGCTTCTGCGTCGTCATGGCAACAAAGCAGATTGTCTATATTATAATCGAGGACAGCAAGGCCAAGTTGCAGGATGGCTTTGATTCCATCATAAAAGAAGCAGTCGACAACATTCACAGCGCTCTCTATTGGCAATACACTGATGAAGAGAGTCAGGAACCATGACAACGACACTGACGAGAAGAACGACAAGTCTGTCATGTGTTCGGTCAGCTGGGTTAGATGCTCACGGATAAGTTCCTCGAACACAGCCTGGTCCACCAGGGCTCCTGGAAAACATACACACACACAGACTTGAATAATAGTGTATGCAAAAATAAATAGATTCCGTAAACTGCCACTAGCAGCAACAAACAGAATTGCACAGATAACTGCAGACAGAACAGGAGAAAGAATTTAACAAGAAAAAAACTAGATCATTTGATAACTGTAGGGCACACCTTAACAAACTCAGTAAATATAATCCACTTCAGTTGTGAGATTAATTACAGTTCCATTGGCATTGTGTTATAATGGCAACCTGCAGGTTTATTAAGATGATTCAATCACCCTCCAGGTATGAGATTTGTATAACCAGCTCTGACACACACACATACCAATAATTCTGCGGTTGAAGTAGTCTGGTAGCATTCGTTCACACACAGCGACCAGCAGCCAGAATGCCTCTTCCTCTTTAGCATACAGCAGCAACACAGACGTCAGGATATTCATTGCCTGGACAGACCGACATATAGAGAACGAGTGAGATATTGTATGTATGTCTTCTAGCGTAACACGAAATAGTTATAATATATGAAAATTAAATTATTATTAGAATGAGAGAAAGTGGAGTTTTTTTAATGAATAATGTGAAAAACACAAATATGCATTAGGCTTGCCGCGATAGACTGTGCTGACGGTGATACCGGTGTTAAGCCGCAACACTGGTTACGTCACTTGCCCACCGTGGCACCGGCCGCTGATTACAGAACCGGCTTTACTGATAAGATGCGCGTTAAATATCGCATGCGATTAATCGTGCAGCCCTAATACACATACATACATACATACATACGGCTTGCCGCGATAGACGGTGCTGACGGTGATACCGGTGTTAAGCCGCAACACTGGTTACGTCACTTGCCCACCGTGGCACCGGCCCCCACCGTCGTTTTGATTTTTTATAATAAAAATAATTTAGTTCAGTAAAAGAACAGACACTACAATTAAAAACTGAACGTGGCTGCTCAATGCAGCGTGCCGAACGACGGTCGCATCACATATCAGATTTAATTTCTCCAGTGAGGAGAGTGAGTCGAGCTGACTGACGAGAAGAGTGCGGTGAGACAGACAAGACGATCGCGGATGATTTAGTGTCGAAACGAAATGCAAAAGCGCCTGTTTGGCAATATTTTGGATTTTGAAAAGCCTGTTGACTTTTGCCGTTTATCTAAGGTGATTTTGGAAGTAAAAAAAAAAAATAAAATCTTATTTAATTGGTTCCACAATTAAATGTTTTAATGTTTTAAAAATGTTTGCTGATTTTTACTTTATTTAAACTTTGTGTGATTTATTTATTTCATTTGACATCAAGGTGTATGCCGTGCCTTCAAGCTTTCTTATTAGTTTTGCTAATAAACATTCTACGTTTTTTATTTATTTGGTTCCACAATGTTTGCTGATTTTCAGTTTTGTATACCTAGGCTATTTAAACTTGGTGTTAATTATTTGTTATTTTATAGTAGGCATAGCATATAGAATGGTGTATTTTGATTTGTTTTTTTAAAGGTGCTGTATGTAGGATTGACACCGAGTGGTTGAACTAGGTATTGCAGTCCAAATTCTAAATATTGGAGAGGGTTTTTTTCACCCGGCACCTCCTCCTCAGACTTGACGCACACGCAGGTTGCCAGATTGACGACACCAACAGGAACGAGTGTATTTGACGATGAATGAAATAAAATGCGCCATGTTTTCCGCCAACTGGCAACCCGGGGTGCCGAAATGCAATTGGGTAAACTGGCAGTGGACGGGTTTCACAAACCAAAACAGAGACCGACATTCCGGCACAGAACGCACATTTTAAATAACTGAGAATAACTGACTGTAGCATTGTTTTTCAGATAAACAAGTATGTTAACTTAGCATGTTTCTTAAATATCTGCAAACATATTATGGTATTGTTATGCTTTAGTAGAGTCAAAAACTTACATACAGCACCCTTAATAAAAGTTCTATGATTTATGTATAGGCTAAGTTGAGTTTGAATTTGTATTTTGTTGTTGCTTGAATTGATGCCAAATCGAAAGTGAAAGTAAAATGTGCACGGCGCTTTTAAGCTATTTAAAAGCGAAGGAAAGCGAGGAAAAGAGGGAAAACTCAAACGAACTAAAAACGAACAAATAGCTTTACGCCGAATTGCCGCTGTTTGAAAGCGAAAGTAAAATGGGCACGCCGCTTTTAGATTCTATGCAATCATCATATCCCTCGAATACATAGATTTCACTTTGCATATTTTCTCTGCTTATACTATGCATACACTAAGTTTTTGATTACCAAAAAAGGTTCACATTTCATGTCCTATCTGTTTTGCACGGAGAAATATTTTTAAATGAGTTCCATTTATGTTCTTTATTATCATAGATTCTGCTAGTTTTCATTTTCCTCGTTTTGTGCAATGTGCAATAAAAATATCTTGTTTGTGTGGGTGTTTATGTGCATAGTAATGAATAATTGCATTTGTACTAGTCTCACAGATAATACTGTATTCTGTGCATGAAGAGGATGTTGCATACAGACATATTGTACACCAACATAAAGTCTGATCCACTTTGAAGCTACAACCATTCACTTAAGGCCCCATTATAATTCAAGAACGAATTGGTTTGACGTAATTTCAAACAAAATCAGGCCAAAACAAAGGGCCTTTAGACATGACAGGATCATCTGATTGACATGTAAACACTTGCTAAGTGAGAATTTTTCAAACATTTTATGCCATGAACCTCATAAACACTACACCAACATAAACCTGAGCAGCTTGAAATCGTGCAGTCATTCAGAGTACAACGTGATGGTTTTGAGAAAGCTTTTTAACATTTTTGTGAACAAGATAATTCAGATGTTCTATAAACTGTGCAATTTGATGCTAAGACCATGTGTTAGTCTAAATTAAAAAGTTGTACGTGTGTGTGCTTTTACCTGGCAGTAGCCGATTTTGGGGTTGCGATGAGCGTAGGCAGTCAAGACACGCCGAAGAGCTGAGATTCCTGTGTCGCTCTGGAATGCTGGGTGTTCTGGGAGGGAGCGATGCAGATCTCTCTCAATCTCATCACACGCAAGCGAGCTGCTGCCCATACACTCCTCCAGTAGCCGCCCATAGTACCCGGGATGAGAGGTCATGTCATGTACTGCACCTATAACACAAGCAAACATACTTGTACAAACTGTGGCACACACCTACATATACATACACACAACCAGAACAACACACACCTGAGAAGAGCATCCACAGTTCTCCTCTGAGAGTCTCTGGAACTCCTCGTACAATGAGGTCACGTGTTTTTTTGGTGCAAAACATTCCAGTTCCACGGCCATATTCAGCAAAATGGATCTGCCACGACTGCTCCTTCATTCGCTCCTTCAGCTATCAATCACAATATTACCATGTCAACAGTGGGATCCTTACTAATTAAAAACATACACTATCATTCACACTACTAGGGTCAGTAAGATTTTTGAAGATTTTTGAAGGAAGTCTCTTATGCTCACTAGGGCTGCATTTATTGGATCAAAAATACAGTTAAAAAACAGTAATATTGTGAAATAATATAAAAATTAAAAATAACTTTTCTATTTGAATACATTTTAAAATGTAATTTGAATTTTCAGCAGTATAATATGGTTATTTGATGCTCAACTCAAGAACACCTTTCTTATTATTATCAATGTTGAAAACAGTGTGCTGCTCAATATTTTTGTGGAAACTATGATGCATTTTTTCAGGATTCTTTGATGAATAGAATAAACAGCATTTATTTGAAACAACCATCTTATGTAACATTACAAATGCATTTAATGTCATTGCTGATCAATTTAACGCGTCCTTGCTGAATGAATATATTAATCTTATTGAGCTCCAACCTTTAAACATTAGAGTATACCACATGTTTTGATTACATTAATCATCTTCACTAAACTAACATTACACCAATATTGCAATAAGGTTATCGGTACCATTTTGGGGTCAAGGTTTTCTGCATCATGCGGATGAAAGACGTTCATAAGAGCTTCAGTGCTGACGGCTTGACTTTGCCCCACCATAACACCCTCCTCATCCTCAGAGAGAAAAACACACATGCAATCTAGTGTCCAAAAAGTCTCCTCTGGCATTTTTACAGTTGTCACAAAATCATACCATGAAATATGGGATATTTATAATTTGGAGACTACCTGTAATTTTTAATTGTTTTGAAATATATTATCATGATAAGTATATGCATAAAAAAACACAATTTCTTATATTAGTGGATGGAGTGTAGAGGAATTACCGGATTACTGATGAAATGCTGGGGGCTTCCTGCTGTCCTACACTTTCTGCGGATGGTGGCAGCAAGTCGCTCAAAATCCCGAACCTCAGAAAAACGCAAAGCTCTCTTGCCACGAAGACACACAGTAAGAGCACGACTACTGCGGTCTGGCAGCTCCACACTAAACACCTACAGGCATACATTAATGCCAAAAACACACATAAATCAGCATTAGTGAAATATAAACACAATGATAACAAAACAGCAAAAACGAATGAACTCTCCAAAAGTTTAAAGGCAAAACTGTGAGAATGGCCAAAAGGGCGCCTCAAGACATAATATGAAAAAAAAAACAACTGATATTTATTCTGGATTTATCACTCAGATACTGTAAGTAAAATGTCTTATTTCAAAATTAATTTTCACCCCGTTAATGGAAACCACTTAGGTGTTGAAACTAAGACCTCTTGATTAATTTAGGCAGACCATTGTAATAATTATCTTGAATTTTCTGAAATGGACTGTTTACGATTTTACTGCTTCTGCAACCTTGTGAAGAAAATACACTTTGGCATACTTGTAAAACGACTACTTATTATGGAAATATTGTGCTTTTAAAGAATATACTTAAGTGAAAAATGAATGTAATGTTTTGGGGCATTTAACAGCATAATAACCGCAATTAAAGTCCATTATATTAAAGCTAACTGCATTTAATAACAGAAAAAAATATATATTTAAACGTATATTAAATGCAATTAGCTTTATTAACCTGCTTAAGTAGAACTTAAATACATCTTTATATGTAATTTCATAATTCTGTTGTGTTTGAAATATGGTTAAAGTGTTAAGTGTGAGCCGAATGTACTTGCAGGCATTTATGGTAAATGAAAATATACTTTAATGTCATTTCTATTGAAACTTATATGCCATGTATTTAAATATATTTGTAATTACACATTTGTAGCAATGAAGCTATAATTTAGTACATATAAAACATATGAACTTTAAATATAATATTGAACAACACACTACATCAATTATAATCAAGTATATATTACATTTGCTTTATTATCATGACAAAAAACTATTAAAAGATATTGAATTAAAAGTAAAACTTTTAATTTGACATTATTACAAAGTGAACTTATGTGTGTTGAGAAACATAGTCACGAAAGTACACTCTAAGTACACTTAGGTGGCGTTTTATGTCATTTATATTATCTGCAAGTACAGTTTTTTAAAAATATACTTTTAAGATCTGAAGTACAAGTGCACATTTAATAGAATTACACATACTTCTTTTTCTCAAGGGCAGTCTCCATGACAGACTTCTTTGCAGTTTGCAGAAAAATTTGCAATATACACACCTCCCATAGAGGGATAATGAGATGGCACTGAGAACCATCCTGGCTTGCAAAGCACAGATAGTTCTCAGAGACACAGATTTTCCCAAGCGTATTGACATGGCTGAATGGAACCCAGAGGAAACTCTCATACACTTCACAAAGGTTCTCCTCCTGCGGCAACCGGAAAAATGCTCGAAATGACTGATTCCGTGCATGTATTTCCAGAGCCCTGCAAAGATTACAGTAGAGTCAGATATTGTCCAGTAAAAAAAGAATGGTAAGAGAGGAATAAAACTAATGCACCTCTGTGTGACGTGAAGGGGGTTGGCCAGTGGATGCTCAGCATTAAATGTTTCTTTGTTGAAGAACCGCACAATGGCGTAGTCGGCCAGCTGCTGCATGATCAGGTATGTCTGCTGGAGCCTCAGGAGCATTGAGAAGAAATGATCCTCTCCACGCACACACACACGGATGCTCTCTGCCAACAACACACTCGACGTACGTTCCAGACGGCTCACCTCATCCCAGGGATACACCAGTTTCACTAAGCAAGAAATGCACAAACCATGAATAGTATATGAGATTTTGGCAGATGCCAACTATAACACTTATAAGGAGAAAACCATAACATATGAAGCACATAAGGTGTTATATGTGACATATCTCTTATAATCCACAGAAGAAATAAAATCATACAGGTTTAGAATGACATGAGGGTGAATAAATTGTGACAGAATTTTCATTTTTGGGTGAGCTATCTCTTTAGGACTTTGATATGTAAATGTCCTCTGATACATAAACTTATGTATAATGTATAAAATAATCACTGATACATAAACTTAAGTATAATAATATATGTGGGGCCTTGACACCAACAGATTAAAAATAATTTTTTGAATAAACGCATTGTTTTCACATTATAACCATCATAAAATGTTACTGAGAGCTTGTGGTATTACGTGTAAGCAGGTGAGCATGTTTCTTACCCTCATTTCCCAGCATATAGGAGTAGAAACACAGGAAGTTGGTGCTGAGGTAGATCCAGCCCTGATTTGGCACTCGTCCTCTCCAGTAGCTGCAAGAGAAATAAGTCACAAGCTTCTCTCTCTGAGGCAAACCGAACAGACGTTCAAAGCGCAGCACTGCCTCCCGTAAGCGTTCGGGATCCTCTTCGTCACTGGCTGATGTGCCCTCCTCTGCTATCAGACCCTATATACACACAACATATCGTCACTAACATCAACAATCCAAGACCAGCTGCTGGGACTAACTATCTAAAATACCACAAAACACGAAAACAAGAAAGAAAAGCATTCTAAAGTATCTTTAGTACAGATCAGCATATCAGTATAATTTCTGAAGGATCATGTGACACTGAAGATTGGAGTAATGGCTGCTGATTTTAAATTGTAATAATATTTCACAATATTACTGATTTTCCTGTATTTGTGATGAAATAAGTGCAGCCTAGGTGTGCATAAGAGACTCCTTTCAAAAACATTAAAACATTATATACACACATATATATTATTATAATAAAATAATATAGAATAATATTAGGTTTGACTAGCACTTGATTTACTTATTTCAATGTCTCTAATGCACATCAGGATGTTAGCAGGGAATTTAATGTTAGTCATTGAAAACTGCTTATACACACACTGCTTCAGAAAGAAGCTGGTGTATTATGGCCCTTAGCCATGAAGCAAAGGTTTCCATGGTGATGAACTCCAAAGGAAAAAAATAGTCACTAATTAGAGTAAAACCTATAATCAGCTCAACAATAATTGTGGCTATATATTCCTCTGTGCTGGCAACTCCTTGACAATATGACATTTATTACTAAAAATGTATTTATTAATAAACTGTTATTTTGTTTTTTTATTAAGTCAAGTCCCATTTATACAATACAGATTGTTTCAAAGCAGCTTTACATTAATAACAGAAAAAACGGTGTTAATGTTGTAAAATTCATCAGTTATGAAACAAATTAATTTTCAGCTGTAAAGCAGATCTACAGAAGATAATAGTGTCATTGTTACAGCGTTGTTTCAATTCAGTTCAATAACAGTGTTGACGTTTCAAAGCTAGTGTCATTATTCAGCTCATTGCAGTTAGGGCTGGACGATATGGCCAAAATTGATATCACGATATATTTCTTAATTTCGGTCGATACAAATCAATGTATGGGAAACTGGTAATGTATATCGAAATATCGGAAATGTGTTTAAAAATCATATCACCGTTGTTGAAAAAAATTATATCGCGATACATATTGATATTGAATTATTGTCCAGCCCTAATTTCAGTCTATTAATAAGTTGTTGTCATCAGTAACCCAACATCTACCACTGCAGACAATTCCCATCAGACCCATGCCAATAAATCTCTAATGCATTAAAATGCACACTAATATGTACAGCCATCCTTCCGATTTGCATTTAATTGCAGGATTGGATTTAAAATTGAGCACCACTTCCCATGACATAGCCGTGGTCCTGCCATGAACTGCCATGCATCAACTGTATATATATAAAAAAAGGAATCTCTGAATGAAAGCTCTAAATAAATTAATCAATTATTAGTAGTAATTTGTCAATATTTTTTTATACTGGTATTACTGATATTATACTGAGTTCTCAAGCAAATGTACATAATTATAATTATATTTCTCAAAACTCTAAAACGGTTCAGTTGTTTGTGTGTAATATTTAATGTTCAATAAGTAAAAAAAAAATGAATGAGTGTACCTTTAAAAGAAACAGATTAAGTTGGCTTAAAATTACATCAAACTTGCAGTGATCATGTTGCCCTTTACTGGTAAAATATTCCCAAGCCGCATCACCAATCAATACGGCCTTGTTTCAGAGTGACACTAGTGAGAAAGCATCTGTCAGTAAACACGCTGAATCCACCTGAAACCTAAACAAACTGACGTCACAACGTGACGCAACAACTCCTGTCAAAGAGCAGTAGCAGTCCAGACTTACCTGAATATTCTCCGTATTAAACCCGTTTGGACTTCAGCTTCTAAATATATAATATCTGGAGGAATGTTACATTTTTAAGTACCTTTATGCACACGGCCAGTTTACCGCAGTGGTGACGTCAGCACTCAAAAGAGTCCACATCACATCAGTCCACTGACAGTGAAACTTGCAAAATACCTATCTGCAAGGCTGCAGTAACCCTTGACCCGCTGCAAAAGCACTTGAGGTTAAAACTAAAAATCAATCGTTTGGAAAATCAATTGAAGAGTGTTTTAAGGTGTAACATCGAAAGAGAGATCCCATTTGGATACATATTAACACATTAACTGAAACATCAGAGGCTTTTTTTATTGTCTAGTATGGTGCTTGAACACGGACATCCTCGCGTTCCCGGTAATTTACCTGTCAATCCGCCGCTGTCCTCTCCGTATCCGCGTCTGCGCTGCAGCACGAAGTAATCGTTGGATTTCTCCGTCACCCATAATTTCAGCGCGTTTTTGAGAAGCACCTCTTCGGGTTTGAGCCACATGCTGGAATCTGTTTTCAGAGATACGCGTCCTCTTGCATGACACTCGTTTCATCTCAAGCGCATACACCCACAGACTTAGTGTTGTTTGCTCTTGCACCGCTTTTCCCACGTCGACAGAAATTGAGCCAAAGACAGCAACACCGGCGCCACTGGGATTGTAGTTTTCCCGCCCCGCTGAGAAGAGGAGAGTGCTGCCCTGAAAACTACCCACTACAATTCCCATAATCCCCGCGCCACCTCATGACGTTGTTTCAGATTATTTAAAGGGAAAGCGACATATGTTTACGACGCGTTGTCATGATACCGCCCGTAGCCGTTTAGACCTGGAGCTCATCGGTTTCGAACATGCCAAGGCCTTTAAGAGATTCAGAAATAGGGATGGGAATCGTAAAAAATTAATGATTCCGGTTCTCCTAAGTAGCCTACTTTTGAAGAAAGGACAAAAGGCAAAAGATGTTTACATTTTTAAAGGGTTATACGTTCAACAACTGGTTCTTAATATATATTAAAAACTCTAAACGAACAAAATACTGTGACATTTTGTGAAACGCCACGGATTACAAAACAACTTGCGTATCTTCAACAAACCATTTCATCAATTGCACCGATTTAAGTCTCAAATAACACAGTAGTTCTTGGTGCAAAATAAATGACAAAAGCAATACTTTGCGGTTCAGTAAGTGATTCAGATTAATAACAGCTCCGAACTGCGTTAGGTGTTTTTGATTAACTAAAAAGAACCGAATCGTAAGATTCATTCGTTTCAAGAAGCGATCTACTGGATCGCGCTGTAGATTCATATTTGAGTTTTTTGTTTTTGTTTGTTCGTTTTTATCATCGGCGGAAAAGCACACATTTGAGAATCGTTAAAGGAAACGAACATCATAAAGAAAATTGAATAACTGAATAAGAATAATCACATACAAGGGCAATTTCATAAAAGATTTTATTTACAATGTTAATTTTAATGTCAGTACTATTCATTTGAAAGAGTAAAGAAATACTTAATCCCTTATTTAAATATTAAAATTAAGATAACTTTTTCCTTTTTTAAACCATCCCTATTATGTCTATGCAGTGAGTAATATACATTTGCACACATACATTAGTGTGTGTAAGGCACAATACTTCTGAAATTTACAATTTCCATCAAAACTGGAACAATATAATTTATTAAGCTACGAAAAGAGGGGGAAAGTACAGCAAGTCCACTGATTTACAGCAGGTGGAGCACTGTGTCTCTCTCTCTCTGTCTCCACAGCTGCTCATCATTACACTTATGAAGGCAGAGAGTCTCAAACCCTGAACACAACCACAATGGGAATTATACCCTGAATCAGAAATCATAATTCCCTGAATTAACCACAGACAATTAAAATATGACCTCCGATTGACCCAGAAATCATTGTGATCACCCACAGAGAAAAAGAGTCACACACACACACACACAAACAGAGAGAGAGAGAGAAAATTTATAGGCACTTAGTCAGAAACTAATCAGAAAAGGGCTCAGCAGTGCTTTGTTATAAGTCCTCAAATCAAAAACCCTTCATTCATCTGTATGAGTGCATTGTATCAGTGTTTGTTTGTGCTGCTCAGGTCCTGACTTCACTCTGGCTGTGAACGTCACCCTCGAAGGCAAGATTATCATAGTGGGGCGACATATCCAACTGCTCCTCTTGCACACCTGCAAACCAATCAGACCAAAAGACCAATATCACACCATTCACATCAACTGACCTTAGAACACTGGTTCCAGAAATATGCCTTTCTATTCATTTTCTCCAATGCGGTTTAAAAAAAGTGCAGCATTAGCATGCAGTATTTCTGTGTTTTCAGCAAAGTAGATCTGAATATTTCCATGCTGGTGCCACCACTGCCTTGTGCATGAGGGACCAGGACCACAATTTCAGTAATTATGCACAGAAATGTTAAAGTAACTGTTACTTGCCCTGTCCTTAACACTAATTACATAAGTACATCATGATTATTGGTGGGTATCACTGCAAAACAACACAAATATCCTGCAAATATCACCACAATTTTTAAGAAAAGCCAGAGCAAATTCAATTTTGGGCCGCAAAAAAAAAAAATCCTGGTGGAACGGATATACAGTACTGTCCTGTTATTCACACTCACAACTAACGTGTATATGTAAATTAATGTTTCCACGACTCTATTAACATTAATGTGTGACATTCAGCACAGTCACTCTGCCTTTCTGTACATTTGTATATGAAAGGTAAGTAGTATAATCACAACAAGTTGGGAGTGTGTTCCTAAATATTGGGAGAAATGTGATCGTGTGCATTATTTCATACCATTTTGTGAGCCTTCAGCAGGGCCGAGGTGTTCATTTCCATGCATGGATGCATATCCAGAGGATGCGGTCTCACTGTGTGTATGTGACACTGTTTCACTGTGCAGGTCCTCAGAGGTAGAAAAAGATCTGAAATCTGGCACTGAAATCTGTGGCTGCTCCACATCCATCTACAAGAGAGAGAAATAACATTTCAGCAAATATCTGGCCAAATTTGTGTGTGCATTGATTGAATGTTCAAAACTGAAAACTAGAATTTTCCTCCAATTATAGGCTTGGACTTGAAGGGGGAAGGAATAATATCAGCCTGCTAAATACATACTGCCAAAGGAGGAAGAACAAACTGAGCTAATTCTCCTGCTTTCTGTATATGAAAGGCATGGTGACTAAGCAACAGTCCAGTTTCTGTGAGACCAATCTTTATAACAACAAGTGACAGAGGATCCACCCAATTTCCAGTTACTGTAATCAAGGTTCATGACAGGACAGTTAAGATGTGGACACATCAGGCACAGTTACTTACTAACACCACTTTCTCATGAACTCCTCTTATAACAGGTTTGCTGCTTTTTTCACCTTGGGTCAAGGAGATTCTTTTGAACAGGCAGAACAAAGGTAAGCTCCCAAGGTGCAAGAAACACAGTGGGGGATGCTCCGGTGTTCAGAACAGTCTATCCCTAGGGTATCAACCCAATCTTTCTAGTATACTGCCAGCCAATATCCAGTCCTTATAGAACAAGCTGCCTTATATTAGGCCTGAGATTAAATACCAGCAGGACAATAGAGACAGCAACAATTTCTGCCTGACTGACAGATGAAACAGTCATTCTTTTCTCACTGCAAACACAGAACAGCTAAAAGTAGTAAAAAGATGTGTTTTATGGTTAAAACTAGCTAGTGTGACAACAAGAACACTGCAAAGAAATGTTTTTCATATCACTACTTGTGGGGCCCACAGCTGCACCATTGAAAGCATCCTGTCAGGCTGTAGCTCTGCCTGGAATGGGAGCAGGATCAAAGAAACTTATAAAGGACATTACGGGCAACAGAATGTAACACCATAGGTGTGCTGCCCAATCTGTCAGATACTTTCACCAAAGTGAGCAGGACTAAGCATCCCAGTTATGTCTCATTGCAGCAGAACGGCAAATACCACCATAGCCCATTAAAAGTAGCAATGTTTCTGTAGTAAGTCAATACAATACAGTAATATTATTTCTTTATTTATTTTAAATACAATTTTAATTACATATCTGTATATTGAATCGCATAGCTGTGTAAAATGTGCAAATGTATATTGTGACAATAATATACACTACCGCAAAAAAGTTTGGGGTCAGTA